ATAAGTCTCTGGAATAAATTTTAGTTGATTAGAGATAAATCCTTATTATTGTAGATAATGCTAAATAATAACAATAAATCATATAATTTTGTATTAACAAAAAGGCTATTGTCCGTTAATTAATGACTCTTTCTATAAAAAAAAATTAATTAAAGTAATTTAAACTTTTACATTGTTAACGACTCTTTCTATAAAAAAAAATAATTAATTAAAGTAATGCCTCATTATTAGGACAAAAAGTAATAAAACTTATGTTTTGAAAACAAATTTACCAAAAATTCAAATGTACCAAGAAGCCAAATGTACCAAGAAGCCAAATGATGTACCATTATAATCAAACGTACCGATATAACCAAACGTACCTAGCAATGAGTTTTGTTACATTCTATTTAATTTACAAAAATAAATATTTTAATAAAAATTAAAAAAATCTTAAATCATCCTAATAAGAGATGCATAAAAATAGAAGGAAAAAAGGGAATATAACGTGAATAAACTTCTAATGAAATAAAATTAAAGTACCAAAATTGTAGGGAAAATATTTAATCAAATTTGCAAAAGGAATAGATGTTTAGTCTATGATATTTAAAAACGAGGCGTCTATATCAAAACATCCCTTAGAAAAATTGTTTGGTCAGACAAATTATGCCTATAAGCATTTGTGCGTTCATCAAATACCTGAAAAATTGTTAAACACTAGTCTCATTTATATTGCCATTTGTTGGCTATTTATATGTATATACACACACATGGCGATATATATGTATATACACACACATACTTTAAAACCATTAAGACAAATTCATAATCACTAGGACATCTACTTTTAGCAATAACAAATTAATATGCGAGGTAATGCTAGGGAGACTAAATTTATAAACAAAATTTTGAAAACTAAAAGACATGAATATTAATAATTGGTTTATTACTTAATCATTAGTAAACGTGTTCATTCTTATTTATTAAAATGATAGCAATTTAATTGAGGGATTTATTGGTTTCATACTAGAGTGGTTTTTACAACAATGATCATTGAAAGAATACCTAATTTTATAAATGTGTGTGTGTGTGTGTGTGTGTGTAATAGTTATATATGTACGGGTCTGTTGAACTTATCCATCCACCAGCTTAACCGGCGAAGCTAACAAATTTATTAGCTTCAATTTTTTATTTTCGGCGGGTCAGTTGAAAATTAGATTCAACTAGCTACACATAACTATGATCTTCATGTTTCCATTTCTCTTGCAGAAGATTTTAGGAAGATGGATGATGAAACCCTAAGACTAGGGTTGAAGAGACCAAGATAAACAGGAATGCATAGAAAGTGAAAACAGGTGTGCGGACTTTTCCTGTTTTTATCATTCTTTTTGTGCAATAACTAAATGAACCGTGATGATCAATAAGTGCACCCGATTACCTGTAACCTTCTGATGTTCTCCTCAGAGCTCCAAATTAAGTCATTCTTGAAAAGCAATACTTCGAAATTGACTAAATATGACAGAAAATTCTAGGATTCCAGGACCTTACGAAGAGAAATATATAGTGATCTACGCCATGAAGTTTGGAATAGAATTGACAACAGCTTAGGTGGAGTGATTAGTAGTAGTGTGTTGATTAGGTATCTATGGCTGAAATGGATAAGACGCGTTTGAATATGTCAACATACAAAATGTATAGATAATATGATCATGTTTTAAAAGTGCAAGTACAATTAAGCCTTGAACATCTGGTGACTTTACAGAATTTTTATTTTCTTTCTATAAAACAAATTTTCAGAATTTTATTTGTTGTTTTTTCTAAGATTATTTTTATTTTGACAAATAAAACTAACACTAATATATATATATATATATATATATATATATATATATATCATGTGTGTATGTTAAGTGGTGCATTATCTTGGTTGATAAGATTTTCATTTTAACTCATTTCGTTTGAGTTCAAAGCCTTCTCTCCCTTTAGTCTAAGAATTATTTTGCTTGATAAAAAATATGAAGGTAGGTCTCACATACAATGGTAGGGCTCATTCTTAATTAGTTAACTGGAATTTCTAGTGGAAATTATAAAATTAAAATCATCATTCAGTACTTTTTTATGCAACTGTATATAGGAGGCTGAGAATTTGTTCTAAATCACATGTAAGTTATTTTTATAATTACGTATCGAACTTATTATTTATAATAGTCGAAATTCAAAACTCTCGTTTACAAATAAAAAAAAATTACTTACGCTTAAGTGTTCGTTACTAATGACAAATAATAATTTATTTTACAATCTACAAATTCGAAATCCAAATGCAATCCAACTATCCAAGTCTACCTGTCACAATGGGGCCAAATAATTAAGGTTTGCCAATCTCTTTAACAAAAAATGGGTGCCACGAATCCATCTTTTGATATTATAATAGGGTAATGCTAAATAAATCATCTATTTAAATCATATTTTAAATGATAAAGTACGGTTGTTGAGTTGAATTATCACTTAAATTTTAATTAACGTGTTTATTTTTTACTGTAACAAATTACATAATTTACAAATTTAATCTAACACATTAATTTATCTAGCCATACTTTTCTATATATCTCAAATGTAGTTGTGATTTAACATCGGAGCTGTACTAGAAAAGTTTGATTGAATCCAAACATCCCTTCTTATCCAAACATCTTAGTCTGGCCCGCGCCCCCCCCCCCCCCCCCCCCCCCTCCTCCTATACCAACTTCAGTTTGTCTTTTTTCCTTTGAACAGTTTCTGATAAACAGTTGCAGAGGAGTCCAATACTGTTAACAGTTCTTTTCTACAGTGTTTCGAGATATAAGATAATTTGAAGAATTTTGGGCGTTTAGATTTAAATGCGTCATTGTTTTATTTGTTAAATTAAACGTTTGTACTTTTTAAATCTTTTATTAAATATTTTTCTACATTATAGGTGTCACATGTTTTATAAATTGCATTTTTTAATGCTCAACAATTTAACATTATCTAATATACCAATAACAACTACAACAAATCCTTTTTTTCACTTTTTCCGTTAGATCTAAGTACTTTAAGTCTTTTCTTAGAATCTCTTCCAAAGTCTTCCTCTACCCTTTCGGCCCTGAAATTCTGTCCCGTAATTGCATTTTCTAACCGAAGCGTCAGTAGGCCTTCGTTTTACATGTCCAAACAATCGTAACTGATTTTATCTCATCTTTCCTTCAATTTCAGCTACTCCTACTTTACCTCGAATATCCTCATTCCTAATCTTATCCTTTCTCGTGTGCCCACACATCCAACAAAGCATTCTCATCTCTGCTACACCCATTTTATGTATGTGTTGATATTTCACCGCCCAACATTCTGTGCCATAAAGCAATGTCGTCTTATAAAATTTTCTCTTGAGCTTACGACGGTCACACAACACACCGGATGCACTCTTCCACTTCATCAATTCAGCTTGTATTCTATGGTTGAGGTCTTCATCCAACTCTTTGTTCTTTTGCATGATAGATCCTAGGTAGTGAAAGCGGTCGCTCTTTGGCACTTCTTGATCTCCAATTCTCACTCCTAACTCATTTGAGCCTCCGTTTGGACTGAACTTGCACTCTATATACTCTGTCTTTGACCGACTTAGGCGAAGACCTTTAGATTCTAACACTTCTCTCCAAAGGTTAAGCTTCGCATTTATTCCTTCCCGAGTTTCATCTATCAACACTATATCGTCTACGAAAAGCATACACCAAGGAATATCATCTTAAATATGTCTCATTAACTCATCCATTACCAATGCAAAAAGGTAAGGAATTAAAGATGAGCCTTGATGTAACCTTACAATTATAGGGAAGTTTTTGATTTGTCCTTCGTGAGTTCTTATGGCAGTCATACATATCCTTTATAGTTTGGATATATGCTACTCATACTTCTTTCTTCTCTAAAATCCTCCACAGAATGTCTCTTGGGACCCTATTATACGCCTTTTCTAAATCTATGAAGACCATGTGCAAATCCTTTTTCATATCTTTATATCTTTCCAACAATCTTCGTAAAAGATAAATTGCCTACATGGTTGAGTGCCCTGGCATGAACCCAAATTGGTTGTCTGAGACTCGTGTCTCTTGCCTCAGTCTATGCTCAATTATTCTTTCCCAGAGCTTCATTGTATGACTCATTAACTTAATACCCCTATAGTTCATGCAATTTTTTACGTCACCCTAATTCTTGTAGATAGGCACCAAAGTTCTCTTTCGGCTCTCATTTGGCATCTTCTTCGTTTTCAAAATCTTATTGAAAATGTTTATGGGCTATGCTATACTCGTCTCTCCCAAGACTTTCCACACTTCGATCGGTATATCAAGGGCCCACTGCTTTTCTATGCTTCATCTTCTTCAATGCTACAACCACTTATTTCTTCCTAATTCGGTGGTAAAAGGAGTAGTTTCTACACTCTTCTGAGTTACTTAACTCCCCTAAAGAAGTACTCTTTTCATGTCCTTCATTGAAAAGATTATGAAAATAACTTCTCCATATGTCTTTGACGGCATTCTCTATAACAAAAAACTTTCCATTCTCATCCTTGATGCACCTCACTTGATTTAGGTCTCTTGTCTTCGTTTGCCTTGCTCTAGCTAGTTTATAGATATTCAACTCTCCCTCTTTGGTATCTAGTCGCTTATACATATCGTTAAAAGCCGCTAGCTTAGCTTCTCTCACAGCTTTCTTCGCCTCCTTCTTCACTATTCTATACATGTCACTGTTTTCATCGGTCCTATCCTTGTATAAGGCTTTACAATATTCCTTCTCAGCCTTAACCTTTGTCTGTACCTCCTCCTTCCACCACTAAGATTCCTTTTGGTGTGGAGCAAAGGCCTTGGACTCTCCTAATACCCCTTTTGCTACTTTTTGGATACAACTAGCCACATAATCCCACATTTAGCTAGCTTCCCCCTTTCTATCCCAAATGAATTGGGTGATTACTTTCTCTTTAAAGATGGCTTATTGTTTCTCCTTTTAGATTTCACCATCTAGTCCTTGGGCACTTCAAGGTCTTGTTCTGTTTTCTCTCTTTTGATATGTATATCCATCACCAACAAGCAATGTTGATTAGCCAAGCTCTCTCCCGGTATAACTTTGGAATCGTTACAATTTATACTATCCATCTTCCTCATTAGAAGAAAATCTATTTGTGTTTTTGACGGCCCGCTCTTGTAGGTTATCACATATTCTTCTTTCTTCTTAAAGAAGGTGTTGGCTAAGAAGAGATTGTATGACATTGCAAAATCCAAGATGAGTTCCCCATCCTCGTTTCTCTCCCCAAAACCATGGCCACCATGAAAACCTCCATAGTTGTCCATCTCCTTGCCCACATGTCCATTTAAATATCCTCCTATAAATACCTTTCCCGTCTGAGCGATTCCTTGCACCAAGTCTTCAAGGTCTTCCCAAAATTTCTTCTTCAAACTCATATCCAACCCTACTTGAGGTGTGTACGCACTAATCACGTTGATGAGTTCTTGTCCTATTACAATGTTGATTGCCATAATTCTATCTCCTAACCTTTTAACATCTACAACATCTTGTGTCAAAGTCTTGCCACGATGATGCCAACACCATTTCTCATTCTATTTGTGCCCAAACACCAAAGTTTAAAACCTGAGTTTTCAAGATCATTTGCCTTATGACCAACCCACTTAGTTTCTTGTAGCCACATAATGCTTATCATTCTCCTCACCATAACTTCCACTACTTCCATAGATTTTCCCATTAAGGTTCCTATATTTCATGTTCCTAAATGCATTCTACTCTCTTGAACTCTACCCTCATGTCCTAACTTCTTTACCCTCCCCCGTTTAATAAGGTCAAAGTACTTCTTTTGCGTGTCCTGTGTAAAATTGATAGGAGCATATGCTTCTAAGCAACTTTGAGTGGAGTCGTTTAAAAAGAAGTTTCTATGGCCCCCTTGCTCATTTAACACTGCATTTGGGCGCCGATCAAGATACAGCGACCCTTGCTTACTTGTCACTGTGCTCGGGCCACACAGCGCGCCACTTATGGGTGACGACCTAGCTTTAGCACAATTTCGTTCAAGATTCATTATCATAAGGATCAACGTAAGATAGGAGTGCCAGTTATTGACTACCTGACGCCCCCTCCTCCTTTATCCTTGTTTGGGATCGACAATGTAAGATAAGCTTACACAGGCGGAGTTTTATTTGATGTACCAATTAAAAAAAAAATTATAATTATCCAATTTTCCTACAATCTAGTAGAAGTATGTTTTAAAAATATAAAAACATATCAAATTGATCCATTTCAGCTACTAACGTGATATATACTTGTGCCATTTCTTTGCTCAGTCAATCAATACTCTTCCGTCCTCATTTGTTAGTCATATTTCTTACGAATTTGAGTATTCGTACCATGGTACATTTGAAATAGATTTAGTGGTAGATGGTATTATGTACGTTTCAATTTAGTATTGGTACATTTCTAGCCGATATGTTGGTACTTTTCAAGTTAGCATGAGTGCATTTCAAATCAGCATCGATACTTATTAATTTGGCATGGTACATTTCTAGTTGATATGTTGGTACGTTTCAAGTTGGCATGAGTACATTTCATATTACTATTGGTACTTATCAATTTGGCATCAGTATGTTTTCAGTCAATATTGGTACATTTCAACATGGCATGGGTACAATTCAAGTTAGCATTGATATATTTAAATTTGGTTTCAATTTAAAATTCACATTCATATATCTCATGCCGAAGGGCACTAATCTCAGTCTAGGTTGTCCTACTCGACGATCCACCACAAGTTATTGTGTGTTTATAGAAAACTAGCTTGTCTCATGGAAGAGAAAATGCCAGAAAACAGTATCTCTATTGTTAGCCGAAGAAAAGTATCAGGTTATGGTAGCAACGTGTTGTGAAATAGCATCGCTGCAAAGTTTGTGTCATGATTTACGAATTAAAATCAAGGGCTAGCCACCCTTTTTGTGATAACCAAACGGCCTTCCATATTACTGCATGTCCCGTGTTTTATGAACGAACAAGACACAATGAGATTGATTGCCATTCTGTTTGAGATAAGATTACAGAAGGAAAGATTGTCACCGGTTTCATTCCATCCACATCGCATTTGGCAGACTTTTTTTATTAAGGCCTTATTAGGCAACGCTTTTGTTCTTTGTTAGGCAAGTTAGGCGTTCATGACATTCACTCTCCAACTTTAACGGGAGTGTTGAGAAAGTTAACAATTATCCAAGATATTTCCTTGGATTAGCATCTAATTAATGTTGCTTTGAGCAAATATGGTGGAATGATTACCTAGATGTGTATCAATTATAGGAATCAATTATGGTAATCTTTCCTATAAATACTTGTATACTATAACTTTGGAAATATTCAATAAAAAAACTATTTAGAATCAATTAAACTTGAGACGACCGACCAATTTCTCGATGGTGGAGGCTGACATTCAGATTCGATTTCTCGTAGTCATCCAATTTTGGAGTTGCTGTCTGAAATTTATGGCTGCTTTCTGCGAATTTTGGGACTCAAATTTGTGGGTTCTTTAGGAAGGAGGGAGATTTGTCTACTTGATCAAAATAGCCTTTAGTTTTTTGTCAAATAAAGGCCACATAAGCAATGTTTCTTTCACCTTAGCATATTTGACGACCTTTTGACTGAATCAACGGAATTTCTCTATAATGGAGCGAAAATTGGATTTTAAAGTATAAAGTGACGATATTTTTATTCCAAGAAAAAAAAGATTAAAGTTGAGTTGCAAGCGTACTGCAAAATTTAAGTCTTTTCTTTGTCTAACTAGGGTTCCTTTGTTCTTTGTCCCTCGTTTTATATGGAGGCCACCGAGACCCATGTCAATTGCATAAATCCTATCCATGCTTGCTGAACTTAAGGGCCACCACTTAGAGAAGTTATTAAACAAAACAGCAAGTCACACACGCACATAGGTAGAATTAGAAATTTAGAAATGTTGTCTTTCAGAGGTTCAAAATGGACAACCACCAAAGGGTGGTCCAGTGAATAGAGACAAATTCTAGATCTGTATTCCACACAACACATTCCAGGTTCAATTTTTGGTGCTGGTGAATCACACGATTATGACCAGGGGGAGGCTGAAAGGCCTCTATAAGTCTTCGCAGCCTTTGAAATAGTGGACTGTCGTAGTGAAGCCACCAGCCACTGATGGAGCCAAGTACAAGGCTCCCCTAGGATATAACATAGGGAGAGTTTTGGTTCTTCAAGCTTAAAATTAATAATCTTTTGGTCTATTTTATGATTTTTAATTGTCATATTCCACTTAGCAAATGAAAACTTTGAATATTAAGACTACTTTTGAGGAAAATGGAGATAATAAATGTTAAATAAACTCATTACTTTAACTAATATTATATTTTAATAGTAATAAATTAAAACTTCCATATCACAAATGGTTCCTTATTTTACTCACATGATAGTTTCGAAGACTTGAAGCCTAGAAAACATAGCATAAAATTCTTGCTTCAAATTATTACATTCAAGTTTTTAATATTATACTAGCCTTCATGCACGTGCAGAAGACATTTTTTGAATTACGGCGTGCTACATGCGACTTACATGTTTTAAATGTATTTATATGCGTGAATTGACAAAAGGAAAGTCAAATATTTGAAGTAAATGAATCTTAGATCACGCTAGAAAAAACCCTCACAAACCAATAAAAGCAGTTGAATTCACATAATAAAATCGATCTTTCAATTTCCATCTGCATTCTATTGAATTTATATTAAGAATAGAGAAAATAATATTTAATAAGCAACTGATTGAATCACATTATTGATAGCACATTGTAAGGCTAAGCCCACCTCATCCCCCTTAGTGTAGATAATATCGTTTGTTCAAAAAAAAAAAAAAAAGCATTTTTGTCCAAATTTTTTTGGTGAAGCTTGTAACCCCAAAAGGGGTTGTTGGCTTTATATATAACTAGCCTTCATGCATGCACGTGAGTGCATGTAGAAGGTATTTTTTAAATCACGGCGTGCTATGTGCAACTTACACGTTTTAAATGTATTTAGCGTAAATTGACAAAAGGAAAGTCAAACATTTGAAGTAAATGAATAATCTTAGATTATGCTAAAAGAAAGCCCTCGTAAATCAATTAAAGCAGTTGAATTCACATAATAAAATCAGTCTCTATAGAATTTACATTAAGAATAGAGAAAATAATATTTAATAAACAATTGATTGAATCACATTATTGCTAGCCCATTGTGAGGCTAAGCTCACCCCCTCCCCCTTAGTGTAGATAATATCATTTGTTTAAAAAAAAAATCCATTTGGCAACTAATTTAATCACATTATTATCCATGTGTGAGAAAGACTTTTTTTATAACCGGCATTACACGCCTCTTGAGATGTTTTGAACGTGTTTAAAAATAGAGAAAATAATATTTAATAAACAATTGATTGAATCATATTATTGCTAGCTTATTATGAGGCTAAGCCCACCTCCTCCCTCTTAGTGTAGATAATATCGTTTGTTTAAAAATAAAAATAAAAATCATTTGGCAACTAATTTAATCACATTATTATTCATGAAAGACCTTTTTTTTTTTTCTCTCTTTCTTTTATAACCAGCATTACACACATCTTAAAATGTTTTGAACGTGTTTAAAAATAGAGAAATTGAATTACATTATTACTAGTCTATTGTGAGGCACTAATTAAAAAAAACACAGAAAATACTTAATTATTAAAAAATACTATTAAAATGACAAAAATGCCTATGCCTTATTTGATGCATTATTTTGGGATGCCCTTGAAGTTTTTTGTCTTGGAGACATTTTTGTCTAAATATTTTTGTTGAAACTTGGTGACACCAAAATACTATTCACCTTTTCCATTCTCTTAAAAAAAGGCACAAAAAAAAATTAATTATTAAAAAAATAATGCTAAAATGAAAATGCCCCTACCTTACGCATTATTTTGGGACGCCTTTGAAGTTTTTTTTGTCATGGGGGCATGTTTGTCCAAATTTTTTGTTGAAGCTTGGTGACACCAACTCACTATTCACTTTTCCATTGGCTTTATATATTATAGATAGATAAAGATTTGACAACTAATTTAATTACATTATTGTGCACATGCGAAAGACTTTTTTTATAACTTGCATTACACGCCTCTTAATATGTTTTGAACGTGTTTAAAAATAGAGAAAATAATATTTAATGAACAACTGATTGAATCACATTATTGCTAGCCTATTATGAGTTACTAATTAAAAAAAATGTACAAAAAGAATTAATTATTAAAAAAACACTGTTAAAATGATGAAAATACCCCTACATTATTTGGTGCATTATTTTGGGTTGCTTTTGAATTTTTTTTGTTTTGGGGTCATTTTTGTCCACAAATATTTGGTGAAGCTTGTTACCTCGAAATGGGTTGTTGGCTTTATATATAAAGATAACTTTATTTGGGCAACAAAAGATTAAAAATTTGGTCACTTAATACTACGGGCTATTGGTCTTCCTCTTCACTTGTAAGTGAGAGGTCGTAGGTTTCATGCTCGCCAAAAGCGAAGTTGAACCACATTATTGCTAGCTCATTGTGAAGCTTAAGCTCACCCCTCCCCTTTAGTGTAAATAATATCGTTTATTCAAAAAAAAAATTAAAAAAATTGATTTCGTAGTATTAATTTTAGCTTAGCGCACCCATCGAATAATTCCCAACTACGTCATTGCCACCAGCTGGTCCCGTTTGAAGAAAGAGATGTTCAAAATGGACGTATGTCACCATTTAGTACTACGGTTTAGTGATATTACCGAAATGGATGTATGCCGCCGCTTAGTACTACAATCTAGTGAAATTTCTCTTCACTTGTAAGTGAGAGGTCTGAGGTTCGATTTTCACCAAAGACGAATTTGAACCATATTATTGCTACCAACCAGAATCGACGGTTCAAGTATTCAAAATTTCATCATGATCCTAATAAGAAAAAAGGATAATTTATAACAAAGTTTCCATGTGTTGATTCTTAGGAGAGTGCTTCTTCCCCTATGCCCTTTATTGGTGGAGACTTAACCCGTA